CCCAGCAGAGGGGCTCCAGCCCTCCCAGCATCTCCGTGCCCTCCTCTGGCCCCGCTCCAACAGCTCCGTGTCCTTCTGGTGTCCCCCCCGAGCTGGAGGCAGCACTGCAGGGGGGTCTCCCCAGAGCAGAGCGCGGCAGAAGGGCAGAACCCCCTCCCTCGCCCCGTTGACCACCCCGCTGGGGATGCCGCCCCGGGGGAAGGTCATTTTTGGGGACAAAATGGGTTCTTCGCATCTGTTTTTTTCCATTTTGGTGGTTCCTCCGTTGCTTCCTCCTCCTTCTTCTTCTTCTTCTTGGGAAATAACCCTCCGGCTCACGCGTCGTTGCTCCCCACCTTGCTGGCGGTGGTGGGGCTGGAGGGGTGGTGGGGGTGGTGTCTCCTCCCTACCTCTCCCTTCCGAAATATCTCACCTCCTGCACCTCCGCTCACCCATCGTCCTCCCCCCCCTCATCCTCCCCACCCCACAGGGGATCAGATCGTGAGTGCCACCGTCTACTTTGACAACCTGCAATCCGGGGAAGTCACGCAGCTGCTCAACAGCATGGGCCACCACACGGTGGGTTTGCGCTTGCAACGGAAAGGGGACAAGTCTCCACTGCCGGGACAGTCATGGTCACACGACGTGTTTGCAGCCAGCAGCCCAGAAGTTGTTCTGGTGAGTGCTGGGGAAGGTGGAGGAGGAGGTGGAGGAGAAGGTGGTGGAGGTGGAGGAGGAGGTGGAGGAGGAAGTGGAGGAGAAGGTGGAGGAGGAGGTGGAGGAGGAGGTGGAGGAAAAGGTGGAGGAGAACATGGAGGAGAAGGTGGAGAAGGAGGTGGAGGAGGAGGAGGAGGAGGAAACACCCTGGTGCTCACGAAGGTCTCTCTGTTTCCAGAGCGGGGACGACGAGGAGTACAGGAGGATTTACACAACAAAAATCAAACCCCGTCTGAAGTCGGAGGAGGTGTTGGAAGCAGAGTGTGGTGGAACGCAGAGCAGGACCATCACGGTCACCAGAAAAGTGACGGCGTACACCGTGGATGTCAGTAGGCATGACGGAGCAAAAGACATGGAGGTCGTCGGCCCAGACTTTAAAATCCGGATCCCAACGCAGGAGATCACCTACGGGATGAAAACTGAGGGCGAAGCAGAACTTGGGACAACCGTGATCAAAACGGCACCGGGGGATCTGCCTGGGAGAAGCACCCAAGCCCCAGACTGGAGCGTGGACATCAGAGGGGCACCTCCTGGCCCAACGGTTGAGTCTTCTGCCCAGCAGTTGGATGTCCACCTCGGCAAGGCTCAGCTCGGAAAGGCCGGGATAACCGTGTCGGGAACGCAAGTGATGGGCGTTGACCTGAGGACTCAGATGGACCCTCAACTGCCGGAGAGCCAAGTTCCTGGTGGGGAAACTGGAAAATCTGTTACGCTGGAGATGCCCGGAGGGCACGTTTCTGGCACGGCGTCCCTGGGCTCGCCCAGAATCGAAGCAAATGGACAGATGGGAAACCTGGACGCAGGTTTTCACGTCAAGGGGCCCAGGTTGGACGGCAAAGGACTTGTTTCGGGCATGGACGTCCCAGGGGGGACGCTGTCACGCGCCGACGCTTCCGCTCCGTGTCTTCAGGGAGATATCAAAGGCCCCGGTGTTGACATTTCTTTACCGGCGATGGAAAATCCAGCTGTCGACGTGGGCAAAATCAAGATTCCCGTTTTGAAAATGCCCAAATTTGGGTTCCCGACGGCGGGATCCGGCGCCGACGCTTACACCCCGCAGGTGGGCACCGACCTTCCTGCCCCGAAGCCGCAGGCTCCGTCCGTGGATGTTGCCGCCTCCTCTGTCCACGTCACGGGACCCGAAATTTCAGCTCCTTCGGTTCGAGTCCCAAAGCCGCAGGTGGAGGTGGGGCTGAAGGGCGCTGTGAAGGTCCCCGGCCCAGAACTGGAGGTCCCTGGCGTGGGTATCAAAGGACCCTGCGTAGAGCTCCCGGCTTCCGATGTCCACGGTGGCAAGGGAACACTCAAAATGCCCCACATGACCTTGCCAAAATTCACTGCCTTGGACTCGCAAGGTGAAGGTCCCGTGGTGGAAATGGTGCTCCCAAAAGGCGAGGTGGGACCGGCAGCGTCCGAGGTCAATGTTGGCGTTCCCGATGTGGCCATCAAAGGAGAATGGAAAGGCCCCAAGTTCAAGAAGGTCGAAACGCCCCAAATCTCTCTGTCGGATGTAAACCTGAACCTGAAGGGCCCTCAGGTAAAGGGAGATACGGGTGTGACGGTCCCCAGAGTGGAAGGGGATGTTAAAGGACTTGGCTCTAAGGGTCTCAAGATGGACGTAAAGGCTCCTGATGTTGAATTTGGAAGTCCAGGGGTTTGCCTGAAAGGGCCCAGCGTATCTGCACCAGATATGGACCTTAATGTGAAGGGACCTAAGCTTCAGGGAGGAGTGGACATTTCCATCCCAAAGATGGGCGGCAACTTGAAAGGACCTCAGCTTGATGTTAAAGGCCCCAAACTGGGACTGGACATGCCCGATGTAGAGGTCAAAGGCCCCAAAGTTACGATGCCGGAGGTATGTGTCAAGACCCCCCAGATATCCATGCCTGACATCGACCTGAACCTGAAAGGCCCCAAAGTGAAAGGAGACCTGGATGTTTCTGCCCCAAAACTGGAAGGGGAGCTGAAAGCACCCGGACTTGACATCAAAGGCCCCAAAGTTGACCTTGAAGCACCAGACGTGGACATCCACGGGCCAGAGGGCAAACTGAAGATACCGAAGCTGAAAATGCCCAAGTTTGGGGTGCCTGGCCTGAAGGGAGAGGGCCCTGATGTCAACGTGATGCTTCCAAAGGGTACGGTGGACATTTCTGGTCCTAAGTTAGATATTGACATGCCGAGCGTGGACATCAAAGGGCCAGAAGGAACACTCAAGGGTCCCAAGGTCTCTGTGCCAGAGGTTGACCTGAACCTGAAAGGCCCCAAAGTGAAGGGGAACCTGGATGTTTCCATTCCCACCGTAGGAGCTGATTTGAAGGGCCCTGAACTGGAGCTCAAAGGCCCCAAAGTTGACATTGGAGCACCAGACGTGGACATCCACGGGCCAGAGGGCAAACTGAAGATACCGAAGCTGAAAATGCCCAAGTTTGGGGTACCCGGCCTGAAGGGAGAGGGGCCTGACGTCGATGTGACACTTCCAAAGGGTACGGTGGACATTTCTGGTCCTAAGTTAGATATTGACATGCCGAGCGTGGACATCAAAGGGCCAGAAGGAACACTCAAGGGCCCCAAGGTGAAGATGCCAGAGATGCACATCACAGCTCCAAAGGTCTCTATGCCGGATGTTGATCTGAACCTGAAAGGCCCCAAAGTGAAGGGGGACCTGGATGTTTCCATTCCCACTGGAGGAGCTGATTTGAAGGGTCCTGAACTGGAGCTCAAAGGCCCCAAAGTTGACATTGGAGCACCAGACGTGGACATCCACGGGCCAGAGGGCAAACTGAAGATACCGAAGCTGAAAATGCCCAAGTTTGGGGTGCCTGGCCTGAAGGGAGAGGGCCCTGATGTCGACGTGACACTTCCAAAGGGCGAGGTGGACATTTCTGGTCCCAAGGTAGATATTGACCTGCCAAGTGTGGACATGAAAGGGCCGGAAGGAAAGCTGAAGGGCCCTAAGGTGAAGATGCCTGACATGAGCTTCAAGACCCCCCAGATATCCATGCCTGACATCGACCTGAACCTGAAAGGCCCCAAAGTGAAAGGAGACCTGGATATTTCTGCCCCAAAACTGGAAGGGGAGCTGAAAGCACCCGGACTTGACATCAAAGGCCCCAAAGTTGACCTTGAAGCACCAGACGTGGACATCCACGGGCCAGAGGGCAAACTGAAGATACCGAAGCTGAAAATGCCCAAGTTTGGGGTGCCTGGCCTGAAGGGAGAGGGCCCTGATGTCGACGTGACGCTTCCGAAGGGCGAGGTGGACATTTCTGGTCCCAAGGTAGATATTGACGTGCCGAGCGTGGACATTGAAGGGCCAGAAGGAAAAGGAAAAGGTCTCAAATTTAAAATGCCCGAACTAAACATTCAGACACCAAAACTGTCCATGCCAGACGTAGATCTCGGTTTGAAGGGCCCCAAACTGAAAGGAGATGCAGAGATCTCTGGTCTGAAGGCCTCTGGAGATCTGAAAGGCCCCAAAATAGATGTAGAAGGTCCCAAAGTGGACGTTGAGGTGCCTGAGGTAGACTTGGAATGTCCAGAAGGGAAAATAAAAGGCCCCAAATTTAAGATGCCCAAGCTTAATATCAAGGCACCCAAACTATCCATGCCTGACGTAGATTTGAACTTAAAGGGACATAAAACGAAAGGAGAGATGGATATTGCGGCTCCTAAGATAGAAGGTGATTTGAAAGGGCCCGAAATAGACATTAAGGGACCGAAAATTGATGTCGAGGTCCCAGACGTCAACCTGGAGTGTCCAGAAGCCAAACTGAAAGCGCCGAAAGTTAAATTGCCTCATTTTAACGTGTCCGGCCCAAAGTTTGAGGGAGCCGATATAGATGTCAACCTGCCAAAAGGCGAGCTAGATATTTCGGGGCCAGAGGCAGATATCGAAGCGCCAGAGCTGGACGTGGCGGGACCAGAAGGAAAATGGAAAGGCCCCAAGTTCAGGATGCCGAAACTGAATATCAAAACACCTAAACTATCCATGCCGGATGTAGATTTGCACCTGAAGGGACCCAAAGCGAAAGGAGAGATGGATATTGCGGCTCCCAAGATAGAAGGGGATTTGAAAGGGCCAGAACTAGACATTAAGGGGCCTCAAGTAGATGTTGAAGGACCAAATATTGATTTGGAGTGTCCCGAAGGGAAGCTGAAAGGCCCCAAGTTCAAGATGCCGGACATGCACATCAAAGCCCCCAAGATCTCCATGCCCGATGTTGACTTCAATCTGAAGGGCCCCAAAGTGAAGGGGGATGTGGACGTGTCTGTCCCCAAGCTGGAGGGTGACCTGAAGAGCCCCGAGGTGGACATCAAAGGTCCCAAAGTCGACATTGAGGCACCTGATGTGGACGTTCATGGCCCAGAGGGAAAATTCAAAATGCCCAAGTTCAAGATGCCCAAATTCGGGATGCCTGGCTTCAAAGCAGAAGGCCCAGAGGTGGACGTGAACCTGCCCACAGGAAACCTGGATGTTTCTGGTCCCAAGGTGGATATTGAAGGTCCAGAGGTGGACATTGAAGGGCCAGAGGGGAAGGTGAAGGGCCCCAAGTTCAAGATGCCCGAGATGCACATCAAGGCACACAAAATCTCCATGCCCGATGTTGACCTGAATCTAAAGGCCCCAAAGCTGAAGGGTGGTGTGGACGTGTCTGTCCCCAAGCTGGAGGGTGACCTGAAGGGCCCCGAGGTGGACATCAAAGGCCCCAAAGTTGACATTGAGGCACCCGATGTGGACATTCACGGCCCAGAGGGAAAATTCAAAATGCCCAAGTTCAAGATGCCCAAATTCGGGATGCC